TTTTTTGTACACCCAACAACAAAAGCGATGTCGCCTCGCCAGACCTGGGGCTGGATTCTCAAACGCGTTAAGGCGCCGTATCTCCTTAAGGCGCCTTAACTTACGGCCAGCGATCTTACGGCCCATGCACAGAGCAAGGGATCCGCCATACTGGTGCAAGTTAAGGCGCCCTAATTGTGGACTACTAGATAAGGGAACACCTGTAGTATTCCAACATAACTGTGATTTGCTTTTCCCGATAGATGCAACCACACACCGTTTTTGAGTGAATAGAATAATTTTATAATAGCTTTCGTCGTGTTCCGAGCGAATCTAGCGCTCATTTCCTTCGCAAACGAAGTATAATTAAGATATCGGTCCCGATAGCTGGGAGGGCATGATGCATATCAGTTAATTTGGGGATAATTTCGAGAAATATCGGTAGAATACTAACAAGCATAGGTACATTGACACATTTCTTTTGCCACGTGATGACCTATTCCATATCTGCTTTTCTACTGTGTCTATGTTCACGTCACGGTCACGCTCGAATGTAATTGGCTTACATGATTTCCCTTGCCTACGTCATCCGCTACAAATTCGTCTGATTTTCCGTCACTATTAACGACTTTTGTCATTTGTCGCGGCGTTCGTAAGGAAATCGTGCATTTTATACCCTCTGTAACACCGTTATTATCAATTTGCGCAGAAAATGGTATAGAGGCAAATTCTTAGAATGATGTTTACTACTACTCAGATTCTTTAAATTAGGTGTGGGGTTGCATTTTCAATAATACCAATTTTGTTGAAAAGTTCCATCATGCCACGGGCTGGACACAACGTTGTTTTACGAAATCAGCTGATTGGCATTTATGGCTTGTGATTGGTCAAGATACCCAAAGAGCCGCCTGAAACGGCAGCTGTGATTGGCCACCGAAGATCCGACGCCTTAAGTGATTTGCGGAGCTGCGGGACTTAAGGAAGGATAAGGCGCCTTAAAAAACGTTTGTGCATACGAAGCTAAGTCCGAGATACGGCGCCTTTGACAGGCCTTAACTTAGGTCGCCGCAGGACGGTTAAGGCCTCCAGCACGCCTTAACTTAAGGCTCTTTTGAGAATCCGGCCCAGGGCTTGGAGAGATCTTGCCCTTCTTGACCTGAAAGGTGGCCCACGTTCAAACAACCTGGACATAGTTAGGAAAGGGGGGGGAGGAAGGGATGATTTAGATTCGCTAGACAAAGCAAGGAGTGAGTGTTCGGCTGTGTTTCAGTCCCATCTTATCGAGGCTAGTGTCTGCACCCCCCTCTCTCCCTCTCACTCACTCTCCCCCCCCCTCTCTCTCACACAAACATACACACTGTGGGTAAATTTGTGTGTATAAATAATGCATCGTCTCAATAGCGCCTCTTGGGCTACCAAACATTAATAAATGCCTTTGGCCGCAAAACTTCGAGGGTAATGGGTTGTAAAGGTATAGGTATCGATTCCCTTGTTTTCCTTTTATTTCGTTTGGGTGTCTCCTACGAACCACGACCTCCAGTCGCGTTCATGAATCGCGAAGCACGGTTTGGTTGGGGTCAACGAGTGTGATGGGCCACTTGGCTTCGCCCCTCGCAATTATATACTTACAGAAAGTATTGTCTATTATATCAGCATTGTTACTCTTGAGATACAAATTGATTTAAAGTGCATCGTCAGTCAACCTAATTTATTATATTATTTCCGAAACTGTTGAAAATGATTGATGTGAAGTGAAAAGCAATGAATGTGTGCAGCGGTGCATTAATATAATGATGGTGAGGTATATAGGAGCAGGTGCGAAACTTATACTATTAACATATCTTTTAGTATCAATTTATTAATTGACAGTCTTTAGGCCTGGGTAGATTGGGCACTTCCCAGCAAACCCCTTTCCCGGTTAACGCTTGCTCACTCACCCGCGAAAGTCCGAGTCAAGCTTCATTTTACCCAAGGCTAAGGGGATATTCCCTTAACCTTAACTATACGCTTTATTTGTCGTTCAGCGGCTGGTGCCCAAAACTTGTCTGTGTTTCCCCTCCAAACTATTCAAGAAATCCATTGCTTTCGATATCCGCCTTTTACATATTAATTTCGTTATTTTGACAATTAAATAATTGTAAACATCTGGAAATATAATGGCGTATGAACTGTCCTATGTTCTTTTCCAAAAAACATATCAAAAGTTTACCATTATCCAAATAGTGGATCCAGGTGATATAAGACAGAGAAGTCAGAGTAGCTGCTTAGGATAATGCAGAGCCATATATTAATATACATCCTTCATATATGAATGAAGGATATTTCCGTCTGACGAATATTAATATGAATACAGTTCCAACAATGTTATATATAATATATATATATATATATTATATATATATATATTATATATATATATATATATAATATATATATATATATATATATATATATATATATATATATATATATATATATATATATATGAAATATGATAAGGAATTGAAATAAAACGATGTGGTAAGATTTCTTGACAATCATTTTCGAAAGAATAAACGATAATTTATTTCTAAAGGCAGGTTTCCAATATATCCACCAATTTAACAACTAAACAGGAATAAAAGCGATCCCTCTCTCTCTCTCTCTCTTTCCATGTATATTACAGTAATTTTTGCTCTTCTTCGCCTGATTTCCGTACTTTCCCACCTCCTCACATTCGAACGACCCTAACTATGCCCTAGTTGTTTGAACGCGGCCTCCTTTCAAGGCAAGAAGGGCATGATCTTACCAAGCCCAGGACTGGCGAGGCGTCACCGCTCTTGTTGCTGGCTGTACATCATGGCTGTATAAGGCAGTTGGATGTTAAACTGATGTCTTATAATGCGTTTAATATACTTCAAAGCTCTAAGTAGCGGCTGGAAATATAATACTGTAAAAATGTAACACAAAGTGAAATTTAAGAAACCCTTGTAATAGTCACACTCCTGTATGAACTTATGAACATGGTTTTGGCTCAGAAAAATATATGAAAAAAATTATTTTTCTTGAAGAATTAGAGGATATTTAGATATGAGATATTATTACAGGAAACTTTTGGTCGGGCTTTAATTACTCAACTTTATCCAGAACTGGAACCATCAGTGAATAGCCCTGAATGACTAATACTCTAACGGATGATATGCAGTTTCAGGGCATGATAAAATATGGTTAATTGACTTGTTTTCCTGGCGGTGGCTCAGCCCTACATTAACCAATATAACCATATGCTTAGAATAACAGGGGAAAGGGGAAACAACAAATCATAGTTATAGCCCCCAAAAAAAACAAAAAAAATCATAAAATGACCATATTTTTATCATTTGTGCTTTATCATGTGACAGTCAACCAGATTCGTAGGCCATGACTTCATCTAGCACATCAGATATGCCAAAGGGCCACCATTGAAGAGGCTAAAAATTCACAACTGAAAGAGCCTCGAGCCACCACTGTAAAGGCCATGAAGACCCCACTGGAAGGGCTGGAGAGGCACCATAGAAAGGGCCAATGGAGAAACATGGCAAGGAGGCATTAGTGTAAGGGCTGTGGGAACACCACTGAACATTCTGTTAAAGCACCAATGGAACAGCCATGGGAACACCACTGGAAGTTGTGGGGACTCTATTGGAAGGGCAATGAGTACACTAATACAAGGGTTGTGGAGACACCAAAGGATGGTAGAGGCACCAGTGACAGGGCTTATGTGGGCACTACTGGATGGATCTATTTCATCTTTACTAATTGACATAAAGAGATACTTCATTTGTGATTAAACAGTGCGTCTCCAAGAACTTGAATCAAATGTGTAAATTTTAGGTGCTGAAAATGCTAACGGACTGCCATTCATATGTATTGGTAATACCTGGTCTCAGTTTTTCTCATGCTGTTACAAACTACGCCAAATGTTTGTTCAAGTATGCTTAATGTAACACTCTAGTGAAACATTGTCATGAAAGCATCCATGAGAAACACAAAGACCAATTGCTCTTCAACTTAATAAGGTAGAGGACTAATTGCTAACTCCAAGTGAGTTTTTAGTCCACTCTTCATATATGAAATGTCATTAAAATAAAGATCTAATAAAATGTACCAGATGAACTGTACTTCTGTACCATATAAAGCAAAACCAAGGGCACAGTTAACTTCACCAGCATTAAGAATGATTCAGCAACTGTTCCAAAGAAGACGAGAAGTACTTTATTACGCTGATGGTAAACTTTGAATTGAAGTCAGCCATTGAAATTAATATTTGATATATCAAAATCTCAACAGGAAGAATATTTCTTATTTACCTACAATGTTTGATAAATAACTCAATAATAAATTTCAGTAAACAGTTCCTGATCCAAAGAAATGTAAGTTACACAACAAAGTTACAGGACTATCAACTGCTGTTTTCAATCTGAAAAGGATGTCTAACCTCCAACCTATCCACCAAATTATATCCTAATTACAAGTAACTATGATCCCTGATTACAAAATGCACTTACTTTGCTATGTGTAGTTCTACTACAATGTATTTTTTCTCTCAAGTGCTATCATTTGGAATGAAATTATGGTCCACAAACATGTTACCTCTGATAAGCTGAACTTTTAATCCAATACAGAATGCTGCTAAAAGACAACTAGACTGTTTCTTTTTATCAAGGTTCTAATGCAGAAATGCAGTTTCTGGTGCTAATACAAACATGCTTCAGCAAGGACTCAAATACACCTCCAAATATATAAAATTACAAGAATAAAGGTAACATCTAACTGAACTGTTTAAGATACAGTCAAAATAATTTCCATATTGAAGGGGACCATCTGGTCATTTTCGGCAAAAAGTTGCCCGTCTTGCCGAATTAAAGGCCAACCTGCTATATTTAAGGTGGTAGCAGCCACTTTCAATGTGCACCGAAATATGATTTTTTTCCCTACCTTAGAAAATCAGCAATTGTGACGTAATGTTTAAATATAATGAAAAATGAATTATTTTCTGAAAGCGTATAAAATTTCACATAATATGAGATCAACCTGCAATTTTTCGGAAGAATCTAAAAATTCTGGGAAGCATTCAAAAAACAATAATGATTTTTTGTATACATATAAATAAGAATGATGTGCTGTTCATATGGAGTATTTTCTTTTCTATATGTTTGGATCATATTTCGTCAGTTTCATTAAAATCTGTTCATAACTTTTTGAGTTCGAAAAACATTCTTGGATCCGAATCATGATCCAGATCACCACCAAAGTGTCATGGCGTCTAAGTTAAGCTTAAAACACACCTCTGGTAAAAATCTTATTAAAATCTGTTCTTAAGTGTTTCAATTATCCTGCAAACAATTCAAGAAACAGCAAACAAACAAGCAAATGGAGGTATCAATACATATAAAAATAAGGTCATGGAATACATGGAAATGATCTGTATATACTTATATATCTTGTATACATCGTTTTACACCACCCTGTATTTGAATATCTCTATTTCACGGGAGTGTTGGTGTGAAAGGTGAGTGTTCCATCCTACAAAGTTGAAAGGCCTGGGACCCTCGCTTTAATAACATGTCCGCGCGGTCACTTCTCTCACGTCCCGTCCCGGTGTGATATTCGCTGGCATGAAGAACGATCATATTTCAGACCAGTAATATGTTGTAAAACCTAATTAGAGCAACCTTAAAGGGAAATAATAGATAATCATATCATATACAACTATTTCATATATGATTTGTTATCCATAATGTAAAAAAAATTAAGAGGAAAAAAAAAATCTGTACACTATACTTTTATGCATAGAACATGCATTTTCAGTCAGAAATGAATGTAATATGGCTTATTTTGTAGCTGAGTAGTAGATCTATTGCATGATAAAATCAAGATCTGTAATATTTTCATGTGCTTCTTGTAAAAGTGACATATATAAAAAAGGCCCTTTCATGTCATCAGTTCTTGAGCTTCTAATACAGTATCAAACTCTTAAGAAACAAGGATAAAGTCAATTTTATTACAGTTACTGAAACTACTAAAACAAACATTTCCTAAGTATAACATGATATAACTGTAGATGGATTAACACAATTATAAACTTCTCAGGTATTTCAATGTTTCAATATACAAGTAACAATGTAATTTTCTTTTATTTACATATGTGGGATTTACTATTTTCACTAAACAAATATATATAAATCCCAACAATAAATATATATACAGAATTATGAACAATATTTTGAATTACAAACATTTCTTATTATTATAAAATAACTCAATTTTAAAATAATACTGCAAAAAGGAAATAAATAAAAAAACAAATATCAGATCAAATTAAAGAATGCAAATTTCTGAACTTTCAGAACATCAAACTCCAGGATATTTTCACTATTTTCTCTTGAGCGTAGGATCATACACAACATTCAATCTCAGTTTCACCTCATTGCAGAAGGTATTGCGCAGATCCTGCTCTGCATCCTGTGCAATGGGGATAACGCTCTTGCCACCACTGCCTATGATGAACCGGGCAAGACCTTGCCTCTTGCACCCAATTTGAATTGTGATATACAGGATCTCTGATGGCATATAAGGGTAACATTATTTGGCATATAATAAAGATGTAATGTATAATGCAATAACATTATTCCACATGTAATAGATAACATGCATGACGTATAAAGGGAGGGAGGGTAAATAATGCTTAAGAAAGAATGGAGCAATAGAGACCATAGGAAAAAAAAGGAAAGATGAGAAGGAAGCCTAATATTCCTTTCATTTTAAAACTTTTCTTTGACAACATACCTTCTTCTGAGAGGTCCCAGTGCTCTACTGTGAACTTGAGGTTATATGGGATTTCATTCTTGAAAGCATCTAGGAACTTTTCTCTTACTGTCATCAAGGCAATATCTTGGGGGTTTTGGTCTGTCAACATCTATTGGAAATTTCAAAAAGTTTATTATATCTATTCTTTACATGGTGTTGACCTACTATATTTTCTTCTACTCTCAGACATAAAAGGAACAAGCATTTAGTGTATAATACTCAAAAGGCAAAATTCATATTACATAACACTTTAATAATTTCACACTTTGATGCAAAATGATGGCACAAAAATTACTTACCTGAGAACTGAAGATCCATGGAGCTTCATAGGCCTTGTGATAGAAGAAATCCTGCAAGTCGTCCACCCCCAGGCTAGAAAGGGCAGATACCATGAAGACTTCCTCGAACAAGGGCCATCCAGTCCGGTTCTCAATAAAGGCATTAATTTCCTGTTCTGTCAATCTAACTTTCCCTTCCATAACATCTTGCTCACTTATCTGACTGATATCTCTTGGGAGACCAATCTGACCAGTTACCAAAGTATTTCCTTTTTTTTTTAGTTTGTCTTCTGTACTTGTTTCTACACTCTGCAGTGTTTTTTTAGTTTTTCTCAAAAGTTTCTCCTTACTGAGTGGAACATCTTTCTTCTTCTCTACATGTGACCTATTGCCACCTACAATGCCTTCTGTAATAATTCGAGTTATATCTAGCAAGCGCTGTTTATGCTTGACTAGATCAACCTGAAAAGATAAAAAACAAGCTTCATATGTAATTCATGCATCATTTTGTTGAACATTGTAATTAGACTCAAAAATTTTAAAAATCTATCAAATCATAAAAAAGAGCTACAGTAATAGATGGTAACTTTTAGTTTTTTTTTTAAGTTGGGTGAGTTTTCCATCAAACAGAGAAAACAGCAATATTAAAGCACATGTATTACCCTATATATGGTTGAATTAAAAAATGAAATTGAAAGAAGGACTAAGATAGAATTAAGAATAAACTTAAAAGCAAGTTGAAATAATTATGATACATAGGCTAAAGTAAAGTGATACAGTATTATGAAAGAAAGACTAATTTATGTTCATATTAAGAATATACTGAGAAGTCATGTATTTAAGGCATAATGTATTACAATTAGGCATATGAAGCTTGCGCAGACTGCTGATTTTTTTTTTCTCACGCTCCAGGTCTAAAAATGATAATGGGATGCATCAGAGCTTTGATAAGGGTGTCATGAGTGTAGAAAGGTTAGGGAACCTGTTTAGGAAAAAGTAAGTTCAAGAGATGTGAGCTATGGGATGATAAGATTGGATTAAGAAGCATGATGATAATTCAAGCAATCAGGAGTAAATCAACATAAAACATTAAGAGGTATATCAATTTTAGGCAATATCATCTGATGTTGGTTCTAGATTCTAGGGTGTTTAAGACAGCATAGGCTAGTATTCACTACTATAAAGTTAAACTTAAGAATGTAGGGATTAACCCATTCACAACATGATTTCCCTGTGTCACACCAAGCCTTGCTCCTGGCTTTATGTTCAGTGAGCCACTCATTTGAAAAAATTAGTAGCATGCGATACATACATTTCACCTGCTGGCTATGCCCTTAGCTGTATTATAAATGAAGGTTTAGGAAATGATGTTAAAAGGAGGCCTTAAGTCTACTTTTAATGTTCTGTTTCCCCTCAAGGCCAGTCACAGCCAAACAAGTAAACAACTGTTTAGTGTGAACAACTTAGAGCAAGCTCAGCCATGATGAGTGATAGCTTTGCAATAATGTGAAAGGACTTCACATGTCACATGTGATATCAGTGACAAAGACTTAAATGAAATAAGGTAATGTTTAATAGGTTTATACATACCCTTTATCTGAACATGATGTTTTTGAACTCAGAGTAATGTTACAAATATGCTAAAGATTTCCAAGTAACAAAAAACAAATGGGTATCAATTCATACTATCAAATAAATTGAAAGATACTCAAATTAAGCTTTAATAGATGAACAGATTACCTTGTTTAAGATTAGAATACTTGGTGTTGTGGGATATAGTGCTAAAAGCCGCAATACTCTGGGATGCAAACTATTGCAGGTATACTTGTTGGAGACATCATGGATCACTGCCATCACATCAGCTTCATGAAGTGATATTTCTGCCTCTCTTAATAAAGAGCGATTTAGACTGTGCCTGTTAAAACAAGGGAGAATCACAAATACAAAATCAATTTATATACATATATGTATATATATCTGAATACTTAAAGTTTAAGCTTCATTCTCTAAAAGACAAAAAATTAATGCCACTCACTTGCTGACTTCCTGTGGGGTGACTAAACCAGGAGTGTCCAAAAACACCATCTGGGTTGACTCTACATTGTGCACAGCCCGAGCACTGACTTCAGTTGTGTGAACTTTGGATGAAACACTACACACCTGAAATAATGTGAGATTTTAGCACTAAACATTGTATACATAAAGAGAATAAAGCAAGAAAAGTCAAAGTCCCCTTTACAGAAAATGAACAACTGATGCAAACAGTGAACATGTCTCTTCAATAATAGCAATAATTACAAAAATATATAAATACATGAGTAAAAAAATACCAGCACAATAAAATGAACAAAATAAAATAAGATGAGGTAGACATTATAAATCAAATGTGAAATTATGTCAGGACTGACAGGCCAGTATGGTATACAAAGCACAGTGATACATTTCACTTGTAAATAAAGTAAAGTAAATATTTGCATGTCATTCAAGACAATGACTATGTACACAAAGAAAACAAACACTGCTTTCACTCACTTTCCTGCCAACGAGACTGTTGATAAGAGTACTTTTGCCACAGTTGGGCACACCCACAATAGCTATTTTCAGAAGTCGTGAATTAGGAGGTGAATCCACTCTTTCTCCCAGCATTAAGCTCATCTCATCCAGAGTGCGAGGAATGCCTCTCTTGTACATAGCATCCCACACATTTTCATTTCCTAGAATAAATTTCTAATCAATATATATAACTAATACCATAAAGGGGTAATACTATATAAAAATGTTTGTCTCATAAATTGTTGGATTCCAGAAAGATTCATCTACAGTAACTTATACTTCTCTTTATATATTTCTCAAAATCAAAGTGCATGTATCTTCCTTATATACATATACATATCTTTATTAGTATACTCAGTGAATCAGTTGCTCAAGGAAAAATGGATTCTGACTACTTTTGTTGGTATCAAAAAAATAACAATAACATACAGAAACATTTATTCTCTTTATTTTCCAAAATAATGTCAAACCTGACACTGAAATACAGAAATCGGTGTCTTACCTGTAGGTAATGATGATCTGGCAACAGCATTGAAACGATGGAAACTTCTTACACAAAAGTGCCACATGGTTCTTGGTATTACCATCTTATGAAGTGAGAGTTACTATTTGGTTCAGAAGATATTCACTGGAGAAAAAGCAAAATGAAAATAGTATAAAGACAAGGTAAAAATTACAGAATATATAGTTTCGGTAATTTTCTAAATTCTGTTTCTAAAAAATCTAATGCTGCATTTGGAACTCCTCCTCTTGTTCGTGCAGCCAACTTGTCCAGACCAGCAGGATAATGAGGCCGCACTTGGAACCTCCAAGACCCTGCCCAGAATGCAACCAGCTCGAAAGTAAACATTCACACCTTTATTATTCAGGTGTCTTTATTTTACATGCTGCACGGGTTTTGTAACTCCTTTGATGCATATCTAACTTACCTACAACTGACTGACAAAATATCCTTTGATAACATCAATAATGAGCCATAAAATTACCCATCAATATCTTGTGTTTGCCTGCAACAATCTGTGTTTTCATACAAATACATTGTGACGTCTCATCCTGCTCGCCCAGCTTCGCAGGAGGGCGAGATGGACACCTTGTCCAGGACGAGAAAGTACAGGTTCCGAATGGTCAAAGCATCCTGTCCAACTTGTCTAGACGAGCAAGACGAGGAGTTCCGAACGCAGTAAAGTCAATGAAATGAAAATAACACGTTCGTATTTAGCTAAAATACGACTAGAAAGAAAGTATATTGCGCACCTGCAAACGTCAACAAATAGTATTTTTCATGTAAAACATCTATTTCATTAAAATATAACGCTTCACTCATACAACAGCACCCTAAAGGGTCCACTTTGTTTACCGGACGGAGAGCGTTCGCGTACGGTTTGCCAGATGCATATGTTACGTTTTTGTAGTATATTGCGCTGTCACACTACAAAACCTATTTTCCGCTCATAGTGATATTGTCTCATTACTGTGCTTATTCATGAATATAATATTATCATTTCGTACCATATTGTAACAGATATGAACATATTCTATTGATTATTATCCGTCTCTCTCTCTCTCTCTAGACGGCTAGATAGGCCGTCTATGCTTGACCTAATATTTACAAAGCATAACGACGATATTAAGGATATCGAATACTGTCCTCCTTTAGGAAAAAGCGACCATGTAGTGATTAAACTAAAATACTGTCTGCTACAGGAAAAACTCATCGTAAGCAAAGAAAGAAAGGAAAAGTACAATTACAAAAGAGGTGATTATAGAAGCCTTAAAGACTTCTTTGATAACATAAACTGGGAAACACTTCTGGATGATGAGAACCTTGATGTTCAGTATGCAAAATTTTGTGAGATCTATAAAAAAGGAGTGGAAAAATTCATACCCAAATTCAAAATGAAGCAAGAAATGGCCAAAAATGGTTCAACGACAAATGCAAGAAAATGAGGGAAAAAAGCATCTCCTTTGGAAAAGATTCAGAAGGCATAGATCTCAGGCAGCATATGAAAGATATAAAGTAGGAAGAAATGAGTATACCCAAACCATGAGAGAGGCGAAATTAGACTTTGAAAAGGACATAATAAACAAATGCGCAAGTCAACCAAAACTCTTCTTTAACTACATAAATAGTAAAACTAAAAGTAGGGATCAAATTAGCGCTATCAAAGACAATAACATTATATATTCTAAGGAGGAAGAAATGTGTGAAATCCTAAATGAGAAATTTCAGTCAGTGTTTGTTCAGGATCCATGCTTTGATATGGCAAATACCCGTACAGACGTAAAGAACATCGAAAATATCACCCTCAAAAAGAACGAAATAAAAGATCTGCTAAAAGGATTAGACAAGACCAAAGCAGAGGGACCAGATGAAATTTCTAACTGGGTTCTTAGGGAATGTGTCGAAGAGCTGTGTACTCCTTTATTGTTAATATTTCAAAATTCACTAAGACAAGGTAAACTACCAAAAAGTTGGAAATTCGCAAATGTTACACCCTTATATAAGAGCGGCGACAAACAAAACCCACTAAATTATAGACCAGTTTCATTAACTAGTGTAGTATGCAAACTGCTAGAAAGAATAATTAGAAAACAATGGTTGAAATGCTTGAAAAATAGAACAATGGTTTTAGAGGAAGGTCGTGTGTAACAAATCTCCTCTGTTTTTATAATAGAGTATCTGAAATATTACAAGAAAGAGACGGCTGGGTGGATTGTGTGTATTTAGACTTTAAGAAGGCTTTTGATAAGGTGTCTCATAGAAGACTACTATGGAAATAGAGCACCTAGGTGGAGTGAAAGGCAACCTACTCGCATGGATGAAAGACTTTCTTCATGAAAGACAAATGAGCACAGTAATTA